CTAAACTTTCATTCAAAGAGGCTTTGTTGAGTATTTACAGGACCGTTGCTGTAATCCTGGTAAATTGTAGCTGCTCTTTGCTCAGATATATTGCATGTTAATGGAGGTTTTAAATATAAACCCTGATCTCCAGTGCTAGAAGACTGTCTACTGGCAGAACAAACGCTGCTAATTAGTGTGATTCTTGCCCAGGGACACACACACACACACACACACACACACACACACACACACACACACACACACACACACACAGCGCTTTTAAAGCACACAGATCCAGATATATATAAGTGAAACTGCCTTGGTTCGTGTATTTGTCCGCTTTTTCTGACAAACAGCGTTCGTTCAGGGATGTTTAGCATCTCAGGAGAGGCTAAAGGTGATTGGATGAGACGGGACACACACAGCAGTGGGTCTCGGCAGTATTACACATTCATGAAATGGCAGCGCAAATGGCCTTTGCACATTTAATAGCTGTTCAAATCTTTCTTTTCTGACTGTAAAATTTATTAGTAGTGCTTGCTAAGGAAGGAATCACTATTATTATTGCTCATACTTTGCATTGGGGATTTGAACAAACCCCTGACCCATCAGCTGTGGTGCATAACTCGTGTGTGAGGTTGAATTGCGGTGTGCTATTATTGTTCAGAGCTTTCCTATGTTTGTAGGATATTCGCACGGCTCTTTTTTTTCATGCAATTTAATGCGATTTTATTTAATTTTTTTATGTGCACTTATATTTGTGGTCTTTTTGTCATTTTTAAAGCTTGTCAGCCACTTTTTTTTTCCACTTCTCATTTTGGAAAATTATCTCTGAAATTAAAAGCAGAAATGCTTCTATTTTTGCTGAAGTACTTGCATTTAATTCCACTCTGCAAAAATGTGCAATCTAAGCTTTAAAGTCATTTTGATGAGGGACCACTTTTCTAGGCTGATGAACTTTGAATGCATTTAATTTGAATGCATTATTGTGCCGAGTTTGTTCTATAAAACAGATGTGAACGAAGCTGGCTACTGACAGACGATCAGCTCTGTTCATTCAGGATGCTTCTGGTGTGTTCAGCGCTCAGGACGTAAGACTTATTTTGCTGTGATATCCAGAGAAGGAAAGCCTGTTATCATGTAACTGAAGCTGCTGGACACTCGCTGTGGAGAGCATCAGATGTGTTCTGCTGGAGGAGAGCGGGTTTTATTCTCCTCATCGAGCGAGTTCACGGGCAGGCCGTCGCCCGTCTGAGATCTGATCCTTTCATCTGCTCTTTAAAGGTTACACAGACATTTTTCTGCTCACCAGGGACAACAGAAACACACAGAGAGGCACAGAGATGTGTGATTATTGATGTTCCGCCTCGTACATTTCCATGGAGATTTTTTGGAAGCATTATATTAGTATTGCTTGTTTGAATCATGAAAGATAAGATGCTGATGCTGATTATTCGGCTAATAACTGCTCCCACTTACCTGGTTAACAAGGTTAATATTTGTTTTATGTAGTTTTTTTGTGTGTGCAATTTGAGTATTTATAAATGTGTAAAATGTTATATTTTTGTATTATATTAACATTACACATACAATAATATTAATATAATATTAAATTAATGCTTACTCAAATAAAAAAATGGACATAAAGAGACAGGTTTAACTGTTCATTTAGTGTATATATATATATATATATATATATATATACACTCAGCTAAAGGATTATTAGGAACACCATACTAATACTGTGTTTGACCCCCTTTCGCCTTCAGAACTTCCTTAATTCTACGTGGCATTGATTCAACAAGGTGCTGAAAGCATTCTTTAGAAATGTTGGCCCATATTGATAGGATAGCATCTTGCAGTTGATGGAGATTTGTGGGATGCTCATCCAGGGCACGAAGCTCCCGTTCCACCACATCCCAAAGATGCTCTATTGGGTTGAGATCTGGTGACTGTGGGGGCCATTTTAGTACAGTGAACTCATTGTCATGTTCAAGGAACCAATTTGAAATGATTCGAGCTTTGTGACATGGTGCATTATCCTGCTGGAAGTAGCCATCAGAGGATGGGTACATGGTGGCCATAAAGGGATGGACATGGTCAGAAACAATGCTCAGGTAGGCCGTGGCATTTAAACGATGCCCAATTGGCACTAAGGGGCCTAAAGTGTGCCAAGAAAACATCCCCCACAACATAACACCACCACCACCAGCCTGCACAGTGGTAACAAGGCATGATGGATCCATGTTCTCATTCTGTTTACGCCAAATTCTGACTCTACCATCTGAATGTCTCAACAGAAATCGAGACTCATCAGACCAGGCAACATTTTTCCAGTCTTCAACTGTTCAATTTTGGTGAGCTCTTGCAAATTGTAGCCTCTTTTTCCTATTTGTAGTGGAGATGAGTGGTACCCGGTGGAGTCTTCTGCTGTTGTAGCCCATCCGCCTCAAGGTTGTGCGTGTTGTGGCTTCACAAATGCTTTGCTGCATACCTCGGTTGTAACGAGTGGTTATTTCAGTCATAGTTGCTCTACTATCAGCTTGAATCAGTCGGCCCATTCTCCTCTGACCTCTAGCATCAACAAGGCATTAATGCAATTTAGATAATTGCATTAATGAGAAATTGAACAGGTGTTCCTAATAATCCTTTAGGTGAGTGTATATATACTGTATATATATATATATATATATATATAAATATATATATATATATACACATACACACACACACACAAATAATAAATGACTGATTCTTTAAGCATCAAGTGTTTCAGATCAAATGTTGATTATAATGATTTTACAGTGGTAATCTGGTGGAAACCATGGTTATCATTGATTGTCATTTTTGGCAAATTGTGAAATATAAATGCATTATCCTATCATGGTAAAAGTTTTTTTTTAATTATAATTTATTTACCATTATCATGGTAAAGTTGGCATGGAATTTGCTATTGTGTTGTGCTCTACTTTGATGTATAGCTGAGTAAATTGGCCTTTTGAACTAGAAAAGATGTCTTTGTGATGGTGAGCAGACGCTAATGTTTTTGATGAAAGATTACGAGAAGATTTCGAGAATTGCCACTTTTGATTTTATGGTCAATTTAAAGGCACTTGCATTATAATGAGACGTGGCCACATCACCCACAATTCCATGCGTCTGAACAAAAAACTGGGTAAAATGGTAACCCCACTCATGCCGGTTGCTTAGACTCGATGTTCACCGGCTTGGAAAGCACAAGCGTGAAAATGCTATATGCAGCTTTTCCCAGGTAGATAAATTGTACTTGGTCACGTCTTGTCTGTTCCTCCTCCTCCTCCTCCTCCTCCTCCTCCTCCTCCTCCTCCTCCTCCTCCTCCTCCTCCTCCTCACCGTGTCTCTCAATTGTCTTTCCGTTGTTCACTCTTTATCCAAAACATTACTCCCACTCCATTCGATCTCTCCCTCTCATTTAAATTCATGTATGGCATCCTCTGGAGGGGCAGTTGGGATTATGTGACACACAGAAGCTATCTCTGCGTTCAGGCTCCGATGTGTGGCGATGCCGAGAGCGGTTTCAATTTGAAAAACGCCTCCTGAATCTGATGGACTGACGGCAGCTGAATTAGAATAAAAATCCTGGGTGGTGGCTTATGTTGGTGAAATATCTGGAGCTGTTAAATATATTCAGTCCCATTGCAAACAGCAACAGCGAGCTCGATATAAACGAGGCGTGAAGTCGATTTCCTGTGCAATTTGTGTATTTGAAATGGTTGTGTCTAACAGGACTCGTTCATTAAGTTAAGAGGAAATGGCATTAGTGGCACTTGGTATTAGTGATGCTATTGCTCAAACTTCAGCAAAGTAATGACTAAATGAAATGTGATTTAGTTCACGATTGAACATGGTTTATTACCATCATGTACAGTTCAGTGTGTTTTCCCTGTGTGTGGAAAATCAGATCTTAAGACCCTGTGTTCATTATGCCCATTATTCTCATTGTGTCAAGATTATTATTACTGTACATGGCTCTCTGGAATACATGATTCTGATTGGTCAGTCGTGCAATTCTGCAGGCAAATATTTGTATATAATATCTCTAAAATCTATTATTGGTCGTTGTGTTGTCCTTGGCAACCATTTTCCTTCTCATATCACTTTGTGGTCTCTTTCTTCAAACATAATATAATTATTAAGCCTGTTTACTGTCAGTGTCCTGGTAGCGGGACACTTGGCATGCTTTTTCGTTGCTTTTCCCCCCTATATCACATATCACACAACTTGGTTAGACATATGGCTTTCATTTTCTTCTTTAGACACGAATTATTTTGTAAAATATATATTCATTATATATTTTACACCTTAATTTTGTGAAGTTGCTGTCACTTATTTATGCGCATTTATTTTAATATGTGGCCATATAATACATTTATTTATTTTAATATTTAGACATATAGAGTGCATTAGTTATTTAAAAAATAAGCTGAAATAATGCGGGCTGACAGCTTAAGCAGAAGCAAATACTATGGATTAACAACCTCATAGCTCACAGTTTGTCTGTCTTTAAAGGTTTGTAAGTTATTGTTAAAATCAATTTCCTAATGGAAAAAAATTGAGTTTTTTTACTTCCGGAACCCGGCTGTTGCTCTCTATAACGAGGCCTGACCCTGTCAGGGTTTATTTTGCAATAATGACTGGCTTACGTAATTACCTGAACAAACATCTAACCTGTGTCTCTGTCTCTCTTGTTCTCCCTCCAGGAATCATTGTGCTGCTGCGTTGAGCTCCTGGATTTCTGCTGCACCTGTTCACTTTGTGGATCTGTGGAATGGATGGATAGATAGATAGATAGATAGATAGATAGATAGATAGATAGATAGATAGATAGATAGATAGATAGATAGATAGATAGATAGATAGATAGATAGATAGGTAGATAGATAGGTAGATAGATAGGTAGATAGATAGGTAGATAGATAGGTAGATAGATAGGTAGATATCTGAGAGAGAGAGAGAGAGAGAGAGAGAGAGAGAGAGAGAGAGAGAGAGAGAGAGAGAGAGAGAGAGAGAGAGAGAGAGAGAGAGAGAGAGAGAGTATGAGGCAAAGTTTTAAGTCTGAAGGAGTGATGTGACGGTTGGATTCCTCCTACAGCTCGCCGGCTACAATGGACCTCCAAATCACACACTGAAACCTCACTGCTCAAGGTAGGGGCAAAGCCTTTCCTCAGTAAATACAGACTGAAAAAAGTCAGTAAAGGTTTTTTGTTGTTGCTGTTGCTCTGAAGTCCAAGGTTTGTCAAGGTGTCTTGCGCCAGTCATTTGAAAAGAACAAGAACAATCCCATGATATGGCCACATTAAGGGAATGTCCTGCATTTAATTCAGAAGTAAATTGTTTTGTTTAATGTTGTTTACCACAAAACACGATGAGCTTAAATATACTCACCTCCATCTTTTTATGTTCACGCAAACACACCAATGTTTTTAAGATCCAGTTTCATTCAAATAAGTCAAGCGTAGAAAGTCTGGCCTGTCGGGTTCATTTTCATTTCGTCTTTTCACACGTTACGAAAGCAGCATGTTCAGCACACTCTCTGATCCTCTCAGTCTGCAGGAATATTCAAAGGATTTTTTTTTGTTTTCTCATTGTTCCTGTTATTGCTGCTCCACTGGCACAGCGTTTCTCATTATCAGATCGGTTACCAAACGCTCCACAGAGGCCTGAAAACATGGACATATTCCAGCGGGTTGTGTGCAAACGCGTCTGTGGATAGACCATGCGCGTGTGTGTTTGTGAGTCTGTGCATGTGTGTACTAGTGTTCAGGACTTGTTTAAGGAATGTGTGTAAGTGTATGCATATCCAAAGGCTAAGAAGTGTTTCAGACTCGAGCAGGAAACCTGGCTGCACAGGAAAGGAAATAACTTATCAGGCGGCAGATGGAGGACAGCATGTGCTACACACACACACACACACACACACACACACACACGTATGAGTCTCGTATGCTGCATACCAAGGCTGCAATTTTTTTAAACCAAAAATTCATTTTTAATTTTTTTTTAATAGTATTACAATTTAAAATAAATGTTTTCTATTTGAATATATTTTAAAATGTAATTTATTCCTGTGATCAAAGCTGAGTTTTCAGCATTATTACTCCAGTCTTCTGTGTCACATGATCCTTCAGAAATTATTTTAATATCCTGATTTGCTGCTCAAGAAAAAAAAAATATTATTATCAATGATGTGAACAGTGCTTCATATTTTTGTAAAAACGCTATAAAAAAATCAGGATTCTTTGATTAATAGAAAGATCAAAAGATCAGAATTTATTTGAAATATACTTTTTTTGTAACATTATAAATGTCTTTGTCACTTGTGGACAGTTTAAAGCTGAAAAAAAAAAGTATTAGTTTCTTCAAAAAAATCTTACTGACCCTGAACTTTTTATGCATATTTGTGTATATTTCTTCTGGAATGGTTTAAATAGATAGACTGTTCCAAATTAGATTCAGGAAAAAAAAGTCTACATAAAATGGTTTAAAATAATTAAAAGAATCATGTTTTATATATTTTTTTTAGTTTTGAATCTTTTCATTACAACAAACAGTTTAAACTGATTCAGCTGTTCGGTGTGTTTGCTGCAGACGATTAAATTACAGTTCATTGGCCAAATAAAAGCACATTAAAATCATTGCGATTAATTACAGTATTGGTTGATTTTATATTGTCAGCTAAATCACTGCGAATCACGCGCACATTCATGAGCTCGATACTAACACGTTTACACTCACAAAATGCTCATCAGAAACCCTGTTTATTATGTGGCCCGGTCTGTCCGCTCCAAATGCCAAGGGGAAGTGTCTGAAGAGCCGTTCAGATATCAGACTGGAGGTTGTCCTTCTGATTGTTATCATTCATCACACTGTGATATTTACAGGAGCTTTGCTGCTCTCTTCTCTCACAGCATAAAAAAACAAAAAAACATCCATGTCGTTCCGAACCTGAATGAATTTCTTTCCTCTGTAGAACGTGAAAGGAGAGTATCCTGGCTGAATGGGGACCAAACATGACTAAAAAGCACCATAAAAGTAGTCCGTATGACCGGCGTGCTGTCTTCCAAGATTATGAAGTCATATGATAGCTTAAAGTGAGGAATGAGCTCAAATTTAGATCTTTATCCGCTGCTCTGTTCTTTTGAGTCCACGTACACTACCGTTCAAAGGTTTGAGGTCTGTAAGGTTTTATAAGCAGAAGTCTCTTCTGCTCACCAAGGCTGCATTTGCTTGATCAAAAATACAGTAATATTGTGAAATATTATTACAATTTAAAAATAACTGTTTTCTATTTGAATATATTTTAAAATGTAATTTATCCCCGTGACGCAAAGCTGAATTTTCAGCATCATTACTCCAGTCTTCAGTGTCACATGATCCTTCAGAAATAATTCTAATATGATTTGATACTCAAGAAAAAATATCAATGTTGAAAACATATTTTATGGAACTGTGGATTATCTGATGAATTGAAAGGAACATTAATTTGAAATAGAAATCTTTTGTATCATCAGAACTGTCTTTATATTTGTATAAATTTAATGCATCCTTGCTGAATAAAATTAATGAAATTGTTTCAAAGAAAAATAAGATGCATTGATGTCAACGATTGAATTGAATGATGAAATGATTGAATGTCATTGCTCATTCAAAGCTATCGTGTGACTTTGAAAGGCTTGGAATATAGTGCACAAGACTACATTTGTAATACTTTTATGGTGCTTTTTATCATTTTTGGAGCTTTAATGTCTATAATTCTAAGAGCAGCGTAAACATTCTGTGAATAAGAAGGTTTGGAATGTGGATGAATTGTTCTGTTAGCCCGATGATTCCAGCCAGACGGCGTTTCAGCATCTTTAATGTAAAACACAAGAGACGTCTCTCCTCCTCTGTCTGCTCGATCTCTCATCTCTCTCTCTACGATCGTTTGAGTCTTTTCATTTCCTGCGCTGTCTCGGCTCAGGACCAATCAAAGCTGGGATTGCCCTCCCCTGCTTTCCTGCATGGATTTCATGTCTCATTAATAAAATGCCAGCACACACACACACACTCACACACACACACGTGCGCACACACTCTTTCTCTCTCTCACATCGAACCATCCGATTCATCAGAGCCTGTTATAATGTCACGGCTCCCCTTGGTTTACAACTCTGTGCTGTGAAGTATCCTCAGCGGAGACTGGCATTCTTCTAAACCAATCAGTCATGGGTGGGTGGGGCTTATGGTGAGAGCTGGACTCTGATTGGCTGTTTTATTTCACTGCAATATCTGTCCAGTCAAATGGGGCGTTAAAGGTGAAGTGTGCCGTTCTATGTTAGATTAACATAACCCTGTGGTATTTGGGATCTAGTTATTCAATTCCATTTGGTGATATTAGTGGTGCAGAAATGACACACTTCACCTTTAATAAACCAAAGGCATGATGAGAAAGTTAATAAATGAAAAAAAAAAATTGTTTTATTGTGCAAAATTCATTTAAAAAATGCATCAAATTCTAACTTGCTTTGCAGTGTTATTTTAGTATTATTCACATTCTATTATATTTTATATTCATATTTGGAATTGGCTTTAATTCTAATTTAAGTGTTATGTGCTTTTGTCCTTTTATTGGTTTCTTTTGAAATAGTTCTATTTAGCTTTAATTTTCTATTAATTTAGTTTTAGTAATTTTAGTACTTCAATTTAAACATGTTCATTTCGATTAGTAGCCAAGACAAAATTTCTCATTTTTATTAAAAAATGTTTTGTCGTCTACTGTTTATACTTTATTTCAGCTTGATATCAATAAAATGAAAATACTTTGGAATAGTTTTCATTTTAGTTTGGCGTTACCAAACAGTGTTGCATTAATTCCATCAATTGCAGATGTATACAATCAAGTCCCGGCCTACGTTTTTTATTCTCGTTCAATATCCTGTTTCATTCAGAAATGCATCCAATTTTAGAAGCAAAATGGGTTGCAAATGCAGCTTTATGTTGACTTTATGCTCAAAGAATATTGCGATTCAGTCTCAGATTTTGTCAGGTTGTTGCAGCTGTGGGTGTTTGGAAGGTATGAGTATCTTTACCATGTTTACCTCTTTATTTGCTCTGATGTGTCAGACTGGCACTGTGTTGGCAGTGGCCACGCCCCCTCTATATGATGCCACCCCTCATGTGACCCGGCCTAGAGAGAGAGCGAGAGAGAGACACTCGGCCTGAAGGGGCTCAGATCAGTGGCCTCTTGTTGTGAGTGCGTGTTTGTGCGGGGATTGTTTGTGTGTGTGTGTAATCAGGACAATGGCGCTCAGTGTAAATCCAGTGCGGCCCAGATTTTAATAGTTCTTTCTCACAAGCCAATCCGAGCGAAAAACAGCCTTATGCAACCTTAATCAACAACATGGCACTGGCAGTCTGCTCCCACACACGGCATGCTGAAGTCTGTCAGCTTGAGAGCCGGGCATCTGGAAACAGTCTCTGAGGAATTCTGCAGGGTGAGAATGATCTGACTGAACCTGCTGTGTTACGTCAAAATAAAAGCTTGAGCATGCTCTGAAAAGCTGGTTGTGATATGACATGGAATAAAGTGTTTATTTTAATAATGAAAGGCCATAAAGCATCATAAAATAAAATGAAAGTAGTTCATATGACTTGTGCTCTATGTTCCAAGTGCAATACGACAGGCTTGTGATATCAATAGAAACACTGGGCTCATGAATAATTAATTAGCTTGCACTGATGCTGTGTTGTATTCTGTAGTCACGTTAGCTTATTAATATTCATGAGCCAACATTCACTTTAGTAGTATGTACAAATTTATTGCCTGTGTAAATGTGCATTGTTTTAAATAGTTTAGACTTTAAGTGTATCAAGGCAGTTTTATGTTTGCTCAACATTTTTTTATATTACATTTCATTTAGTATACATCCAGGATGTCAAAACTGAAATTTCAACAACAAGAGAAGATTAGAAATAAAACTTTCAAAATCATGTAAATCAATTCTCAGCTTAATGAATTTCCCAGCATAATAAATAATTATGTTTATATATACACCCACACACACACACACTCACTCTCTCTCTCTCTCTCTCTCTCTCTCTCTCTCTCTCTCTCTCTCTCTCTCTCTCTCTCTCTCTCTCTCTCTCTCTCTCTCTCTCTCTCTCTC